TGCTTCGTCTCTCTCTCTCTCTCTCTCTCTCTCTCTCTCTCTCTCTCTCTTTTCGTATAGGAAAACGAAATAAATTCGAACGAAGCGAAAGAGTCAAAAATAAAATTTAAATATTCGCATATTTAAAAAAAAAACGAACATCAAACATTTCTTTGTGTCGTCTGCTTTCCCCCACCCCTCCTCTCTCTCTCTTTCTCTCTCTCTCTCTCTTCTCGCTTAAATTAAAGATTTAATTAAATGACCTTTTATTGACTGACTCTGTTGTTTGTTTGTTTGTTCTCACCTTCATCAATATTCTATGGGAAAAAAATAAAAAATATTTTTCGTTGGGAAATCAGTGGGCGATCATTTATTATTATTATTATTATTATCGTTATTAATAATAATAAAAAAAAAAAAAAAACTTTCCCAAAAGGTTTTCTCATCGTTTTAAAATTTATTAAGGAAAATTGAAGAGAGAGTAATTAACGTAAAATTCAAAATGGCGGCGTCTTTTACACGTGTAACCAGAAAAAAAAAAAACGAAAAAGGTTTTAAAAGGTAATAATTAATAATTATTCGAGAGAGAGAGAGAGAGAGTCGAAAGACTTTTATCAGGTTGGTAATTGTTAATAATAATAATAATTATAAAAATCGATAAATCGATATATCGATTTTTAAATTTATAAATTAAAAAAAAAAAAAAAGAGAAATGATTGACGTTCGTTTGTTTTTTTTTTTTTTGAGGATGATATGGCAGCACTGATTAAATTTCTTGTTAATTAAAAAAACGAAAGAAATGGAGTGAGATGAAATGGGATATTTTCGGGAAGGGGAAAAAAATTAATAATAATAATAATAATGCTTACCAATTTCGTATCTAAATTCTCCAACGTTGAAAAATTTTCTTTCGATTCTGGTAATAATTGAAAATGTTGTTGTTGTTGTTGTTGTTGTTGTTCGATATCCGTCGTCGTCGTCGATGGGATTCCATTGGTCACGAAAACATCCGGTCCCGTACGATCTTGGAAAATGTTATCGTAACCGAATGTTGTTGTTGATGATGATGACGGATGATAAAGTGAATTGGATTTTATTGGGGGGGCATCGGATTTTCCATCGACGTAATTATGTAAATCCTCGGAGGGTGGTTGAGAATTTGTCGTGAAAATCCATTCGTTATCGCACAGGGGATGATTGTTCGGAGAGGATTGAGCCATTGATAAATTCTGGAGAACTTGAAATCTTTTCTGATAAGAATCACGATGATGGTGGATTCCGTTGTATGGGTAGGGAGAAGCCGGACGAGATTCGAAATTTTCACAATTTGCGTTCCAGTTTCCTCCGCCTGGAGCATACGGTGAAACGTTATCCTCGTACAAACAAGATCCCTTTTTTTTAACGGGAGATTTTAACGGATTGTTGTAAATTCCAGGACCGTAGCCTTCTTCCAAATGTGTCATTCCGCACGTTGTACCCTCGACGTCATCATCATCATCGTACAAACCGGGTAAATAATTTCTACTTCCGCTATTTCCCCTACTCGAAGATGGTCCTCCATATCCGATCGGGCTTTCCGTTGTTGTTTGCGTTTCTTCTGTTTGTTCATCAATTACGCTTAATCCGTCGAAAGTGCGAACGCACGCACTCGATCCTTTTCCAAAACTGTTGGATTTCTGATGATTTTCTTCATTTTCCAAATCCGGATTTTCTTCTTCTCCTACCAAATTGTTTTTCGTTTTTTGTTTTTCATCGTCGGATTCGTCGTCCGCTCTGCTCAAATTAACATCCGAATCTGAATTTTCCTATAAATAAATGGCAATTATTATTATTATTATTCGAGTAACTTTTTGTTCGTTTGTTCGTTTGTTTGTTTGTTTGTTTAAAAGAAATACCTCATCCGAATCATCGTCGTCGTCGTCGGTTTCTTTTTTCTTTAATAGTTTTTCCATTTTGTCGTATTCGTCACGCAAACTCCACATTTCACGTCTGAGTTGTTCATTTTCCCTTCTTAATTTTTTCAATGCGTGTTGACCTGTTAAATATTCGTATAAATAAATTTTTAAAATATCGAAAGACATTTTTTTTTAAACTGACGATAGAAGAAAAAAATAAGTTTAAAAGGAAACAATGAAAATCATTGTAAAAATTATTAGGGTCACGTGTTTGTTTGTTTTGTTCAAAACGTCATCAAAATGTTTGTGACGTCATGGTGTACATATATGTATTCGCACCTTGTTCGACTTCGGCATTTATCGTTATAGTTCTCATTCTGAGCTCTTCATTTTCGTATAACATTCCTCTTGATGATTTTTTATCGAGTCTCCTGTTGGGTTTGACATTGCAGTCTTTTCTTCTTGCTCTCAGCATTCGAGTAGTTCCTCCCGACATTGGCATAGCAGAGGATGTCGGACACCGTAAATTATCCGATTTCGACGTATATAACCTAATCCAAAAATTTTTACGATTTTTTTTTTTACATCCGGTCAATGTTTCGTCGTCGTCGTCGTCGTCGTCGTCATCGCCACCGCCACCGCCGCGTTGACGATACCTTTTCTTTTTTTTACTTCTAAAACTTTCGTTCGCGTTCGATTTATTCGAACTTTTTGATTTACGAAACGAATCCTCTGATTTTTTCACATGGCCAATGAATCTATCTGACGTTTCGTCATCGGATATCGACGTAATTTTGAATTAGATTCCCCTTCCCTCCCCCTTCCCTTCTCCCTCTCCCCCCTTCCTTCCCAACTTTATTTAACGTACCTGAAAATTACAAAAAAATATCGATAATAATAATAATAATAATAATAAATTTTTTTTTGTTGTTATTCTCTCGGATTTTAATATTTTTTCGCGTTTTTATTAGCAAAAAAAAATATATATATAAATAAACAAATGATTTCATCGTAATAAACAAAACAAAAAAAAAAAAAAAAGTTGGCAAAACTGCTTTTTATTACGATGATGACCCCCACGTTCGAATATATTATTCCAGTTTTTTTTTTTTTTTTGCATTTTTAAAAACAGAACAAAAAACGTCGATCGTCCTTTAAAAATTAAATTATTTGTTAATAATAATAATAATAAATTTTGTGTTGTCTGTTTGTTGCCTGTTTGTTGCTTGTTTGTTGTTGTTTGTTTTCGTACAAAAAGGTTTTTTTTCGATCGAGATTTGGGTTGAAAGAAATAAAATAGGGAAGGAAGTACGTCGATGACATTTTTTTTTTTTTTCCAAAAAAAAATTTTGTTTGTAAATAAAAGCAGAAGAAAAACTTTTAAAAGAGTGAGAGAGAGAGAGAGAGAGAGAGAGAGAAAACGTTTCGTACAACAAAAAGATTTTTTTTTTTTTTATTTAAAAATGTACTTAATGTGTTTAACCAGCTGGTTGTCGTCGTCGTCGTCGTTTGTTTTTTTGTTTTTTTTCTTGCAAAAAAAAAATTTTTTTTTTATTTTGTCACGAGTTTGTTTAAATCCGGAATAAAAAAAAAAAGAAAAATTTCATGCGAATAAATACGGACGCCATATTTAATTTTTTTTTTTTTTTTTTATTTAAATTTAATGAATTCTGTGAGTGTTTTTTCGAACGGGATAGAAAAACGTGGGAAAAAAACACAAATTATTATTAATATTATTATTTTTTTTTTTCTTTAATGTTTTCCAAAAGAACAAACATACAAACATATTTAATTTTGTTTCGTTTCGTTTGTTTATATTTTTATTTAATGTTTTTGAAATTTTTTTTCTTTCTTTTTTTCGCATGCCAAGATTAACAATAATAATAATAATAGTGATGTTGTCGTCATGTCGAAAATGTCTTCCCCTCTCTCTTTTTCTCTCTTTCTCTCCTCTTTCTCTCTCTTTTTCTCTCTTTCTCTCCTCTTTCTCTCTCTCACTATCTCTCTCACTCACTCTCTTTCTCTCTCTCTCACTCACTCTCTTTCTTTCTCTCCTCTTTCTCTCTCTTTTTCTCTCTTTCTCTCCTCTTTCTCTCTCTCTCACTCACTCTCTTTCTTTCTCTCTCTCTCTTTCTCTCTCTCTCTTTCTCTCTCTCTCACTTTCTCTCTCTCTCTCTTTCTCTCTCTCACTTTCTCTCTCTCTGTCGCTCTCTCTCTCTCTCTTTCTCTCTCTCTCACTTTCTCTCTCTCTCTCGCTCTCTCTCTCTCTCTCTTTCTCTCTCTCTCTCACTCTCTCCTCTCTCTCTCTCTTTCTCTCTCTCTCTCTCACTCTCTCCTCTCTCTCTCTCTTTATTGTTTTTTTTCCATCTTCTCTTCGTCAATGTTTTTCTTGTTTTTACCGTTGATCGATAAAATTTTGTCAAGAAGTTTTGGATGAAGAAGGAAAGAAAAGGGGGAGGTCTCGTGTCGGGTGAGGTGATGGTGGTGGTGGGGGGAGGTAAAAAAGGTTTTTGAAATTTTTTTTTTTAATTTTATCGTGAAATTAGAAAATTTTTGAAAGTGACAGTTTTGGTTGTTTCGCATCGAAATTATTTTGGCTTATTAACAAAAAAAATTTACTCAACGTCACAAAAACAGCCACGTGCTTTTAATTTGTTTTTTGCAAAATGAAAAAAATAAGATGGCGGGTAGGAAGCCCAAGGGGGGGGGAATAAAACGTTTTTTTCCTATTCTCTCTCTCTCTCACTCACTCTCTCTTTTTCTCTTTTCGATTCGTTTTTTTTTTTTTTTTTGTAAAGTTCACGAACGTAAAGTTACATCACGGATACAATTTTTTTTACATATTATTATTAGGGGAGTAGCGGGGGGGGTGGGGCGAAATAACGAGAAAATATTATTATTATTATTATTTAGGCAACAATTGTTCGAAGGTTATTATTCTCATAAATATTTATTTATTTATTTATTTATTTTTACTTTCGAATGCCAAAAAAAAAGCACGTAAAATCTCAAACCTGAGAAATTACAAAATTTATTTATTTATTATTATTATTATTATTAAAAAGCGTTTTTGATTTTTGAAATTTTTTTTGATTTTTTATCGAAACTATAAATTACGCGTATCTGTAATTTTTTAATGTCTAAAAATAAATTATAGCGCGTATCAAATCTTCCATATAGTTTACATTTAAAAAAAAAAAAAAATTCTCTCTTTTTAAACACATAATTGATTGCTTTATTAATTGTTTATTTTTAAATTGAAGAAAAAGAAAAAAGAGAAAAAAATTCTTTTTTTCCCGAATTCAATCGAACAAAACAGAAATAATAATAATAATAATAATGATAATGATAAGAAAACGAAATTTTGTTTCCGATCGAACTAATTTAATATTCAATAATTATTATTAATTAATTGAGTAATTATTTATTTATTTATCGATACGTAAATTGTTCTCTCTCTCTCTATTTTCGCCTCTCTCTCTCATTCTCTATATTCGCCTCTCTCTCTCTCTCTCTCTCTCTCTATACTCGCCTCTCTCTCTCTTTCTCTATTTTCGCCTCTGTCTCTGTCTCTCTCTCTCTCTTTCTCTCTCTCTTTCTCTATTTTCGCCTCTCTCTCTCTCTCTCTCTCTCTCTTTTGTTGATACCTATATATACTACAACAACCACATTCTCACTCTTTTTTGGATGGTGACGCCCTTCCCGAAACGAATCAAACGTTAAACCCGAAAAGAAATTTTAGTAATAATAATAATAATAATAATAACAACAACAACAACAATAATAATAATAATAATAATAATAATAATATTTGTTTCATTGTCATTACTTAAAGAAATAATAATTCAATTCAAAATGAATTAATTAAGTTCAGATGGTTTTTTACGGGGGGTAGGGAAGATGATGACGGGGGGAATGGAGGAGTAGAGGGGGTTGGATAAAAATGAACTGTTTTCGAACGAATACACGAACGAATGTTTTTCATTAAAAAAAAATAAATAAATAAATGAGATTAATAAGCGAAAGGGACAAACGCTCCAATAACCCTTTTTTTTTTTTTGCGACCGAAAAGATTCGAAATCTTTTTTTATCATTATTATCATTATTATTATTATTATTATGTATTTTTTTGTACGATTCGAATTGAACCCCATTTGTGTTAATAACATAACAATAAAAAACTCAAATTGATGTTAATAATAATGGCAACAAATAAAAAAAAAAAAGAAAAAAAGAAAAAAAAAAATCTTTTCATGCATTTAATCGGATTGAATTATATAATAATAATAATAATAATAATAATAATACGGTTTCGTATTTAATGTTTAACTTATGAATTACGTCATTAAATTCTTTCACGAATAATATTCATATAACTCGTTAAAATCTCTCTCTCTCTTTCTCTTACGTATTTTTTTTCTCTCTGTCTCGTCAATTCGAACGGAAATTAATAATAATAATAATAATAATAATCCAATAAATTTAAATAAAATCATCATTATTATTATTAGTATTAATAATAATAATAATAAAATTATTGATCGGATGATTTTATTGGATTTTTTTATTTAAGTCGTTCGAATAGTAAAAGATTAAATGTTGACAGGTGACTAGTCGTGTTGTCGTTTGTTGTTTGTTGTTTTTGTCGTCGTTTTTTTAATGTCTTCCCCCTTCATCGCCACCACCACGAACCTCTTCAGTTTTATTTATATTTCCCCGTATTATTATTATTATTAAAATTTATTTTACGGGGAGAAGGAGTCTGTAATGTTGTTATTTTCGTAATTAATTTTACTATTTGTGCGTGCGTGCGTGCGTGAATGCGTATATACGTACCTTCGTGATAATAATAATAAAATCCTCTATTTTCACGATTACGCAAAGAAATGGTAATAATAATGATAACTATAACGGGAAAATTGACAAAAATTTATTTCCGAATTAATGTTTATGTAAAAACAAAAAAAAAAACACGGAAACGTGTGTGTAATTTTCACAATTTTCGACGCCGTAAATTTTTACGCCATATTTTTTTTTAAATAATAATAATTATTATTCTGATGCCACGTAAAAAAAATAATATATATATGCGAAAACTATATGAAAATTTATTATTATTATTTTTGTTCGCGACACGTTTTTTTTGTTACACGTTAAAAAGTTAAAAAATTTTATTTTATTTTTAATCGTAATGTCGTCGTCGCGTCCACCATTTTTCTTTTTCTCTCCTATCGTCGAATCGCTCAAACAAAATTTTTTTTTTTTTAAAAAAAATATAAAATGAAATTCTATTAGCGTGTATAACGGTCTGTAATTCTGAGCTTTTTTTATTCGGGGGGCCCTCTATTCACTATCTCTCTCTCTCTTTCCACACGCACTCTTTCTCTCCCTCTCTCTCTCTCACTCTCTCTCTCTCCTCTTTCCACTTGTTCCTCATCATCATCATCTCGCGTTTTTTTTGTTTTTTTCTTTCTCAAGAAGTCGTCGTTTCATTCACGCTTCCGTTTGTCGAAAATATTTCGAAAATTATTTTAAAATCGTTGGATTATATTTTTAGATGGTGTCCGTTCGGTATGTGAATGTATAATAATAATAATAATAGAAAAGTTTCGTATTCGAACGTTTTTGTTGTATTTTTTTCGAATCCGTTCGGTTGTTGTTGTTATTCGATAATTAATAAATTATCTTACCGTGATAAATCATTTCCGCCATTTTGTCGTTCGTTTCCGTTTAACATCAAGAAAATTTCCGCGTGTTTTTTTCCGTGATGGGGCGCG